GGTCGAACACCTTGCTTGTCACGCTGACAGCAAACACGTTAGTTGTCCTAGCAAAAGTTGTGCTGGAATAGATAACATATTTTTTTCCGTGGATCTGCCCAGATCTGAACATTTTTGCTTGGGCACCACCGGATCCTCTGGGGTCATCTGATTCTCTGTCTGACTCAGAGGGAGAGGAGGCAAGTTTTATGACTGACAATAGCAATTGGAATAACTCACTGATCCTGTATGTTAATTTGAGTCTTCTGCTTTAGGGAAATAATCGTCAACTTTCCTCGGATATTGATCAGGAAGAATCTGAACATGAAGAGCTTCGAACCGACGTCGTAAGTTTTCCAAAATGTAGAACTATATTACTTATCCAGATACAGCTCAAAGTCACTTAACAATTACCGACTGAGGATTGACTGCCGTTTGTCTGTGGATTGGCAATGCGTTACCAGACTTTGGCGCCTCAGACAATCTTCAGACAATCCTCTGCAAGAGATGAAAATGAAAACAATCGTCTCGGCCGGCCAGCTGTCGCCGGCCCGGTACCGAACCCCGGTCCTCGCAGTGGGAGTCGGAGTGCTTGCTCCCTTGGCCAGAGAGAGGTCGCTGAGAGACGAGCTCGGCGAAGGCAGGTCATCGTCAGTCAATCCTCAGTCTAACTAGGCTGAGGATCGACTGCCGATGGACTGCGGTCTGGCTGTGGTTTGTCTGACGTTTGTCAGCCATTTGTCGATGAGGATGATCAGCCGTTTGGCTACGGTTTGGCTGCCGATAGACTGACGATTGACTGACGATGACCTGCCGTTTAACTGCGCTTTACCTACGAATTAACCGTCACCCTCGACAAGATTCAGACAACATTCAGGCTATTATTTTGCCTCGGGAAGGGAGACCGCAGAACCGCAGAACAGCACATCGGGCGTATGAGTGCCTTTACGCCGTAAAACCCTGTTTTATGCGTTTTTCTGATAATTTAAATATTCAAAATGACATTTTACACATTGGACATATGTTGGAAATCACCAAGAGCGGAACAGGGCAGGGTTTGTCACCATCACGGCCTTGTCGACAGCTTACCTCACCTTCGTGTGGCGCTGAGACCGCTTGGCGGCAAAAAGTGTATGGTAGACTTTGTAAGATTGTGTGGCGAAGTAAGAAGTGTCGTGGTTACATCTGTCAAAGAGAAGACTAAAAATGACTAAGAAAGAGGCGGACGAGATGAATTATTCTTTATACGATAACAACGGCGACCGATATGATATCGTCATAAAGAAGAAAGACTTTGCGAAGTATGAGTATGGTAAGTCGCTCGGTGATCGACGAGCAGTTGGAGGTTAGGTGTTAATTCTGTCCTGTTTCACATTGCATTTTTTCATCTGTAATATAGGGCGTGCAACATGCTATAATACGTTAAGAGATCTGAAAAGAGCGGGCCGGAAGCCCACTGTAAGTCATGGAGGCCGGAGTACTGTGGTTGAAAAGGGACCTGATGATCTGAGAAGCCCAGAGCACAAAAAGGCAAAACGACAGACAGCAAAGAAGCTTGCAGCTACTGCAAGTGTTTTTACGCCTCTTGCTGATTCCACGTTCGTGGAATCTGCACCTGATGATGTTAATGGTAAGACAATTCTTTTTCGAACAGAACTGGGTTGTTCGCTCTTGCTGACATTGTGGCTCATTATTGATAATTGTTTAAATGTTTGCTTAGCTCCTCTCCGGCTGTTCGAAGCCTGAACGCCAGCTTTGATGCCTCGCTCATCATCAAGGACGACATCCCTCCTATTGAAACAGTCCCTCAAGACCCTCATAACGATGTAGAGGTTGAGGTCCCAGGTATGCTGCTCATACTGCTCATACGAATTCACAACAAAAACAACGGAACGGTGAGGTGGAGGGGTGGAGGGGGAGGGGAGTGAGGGAGGTTGAGTCGAGTCGAGAGTTCAAGAAGGCAGCGAGCGACGGTTGACCGGTTCCGACCGGCCTCGTGGGAGCTTTTATGAGCGTCCCTTGCTAACCCAACGTACATTTTGGCGCGCTTGTTTGTGGTTGCTTGAGAAGGGTCGTGGTTTGGTTGTTGCAGGCATTATTTTAACTCACTACAATGTACGTGTACGGACATGATTTGGTCGATAAGAAAAGGGCAACCTTCATGGACACGGATATTTTTGAAATTATCAGTGACGGTCATAGGCTGCGTTTTAACTCAGATGACTGGAGCCAAGAGAAGAAGTACGGTGTGAAAGTCGGAAAAAAAAACTGCACCGGTTTGTGCCTCTCGCCGTAAACGGTAAGAAATCTTATTGAACTTGTGTGCTAAGAAATTTTAAACTTGCCCTTTGCGCATTGAATTTGGCTATGCAGGTTATGGTAGTGTTACTTTAATTTTCTTGGTAGGAACTGATGCCTAGAGTACAGTTGAGCGCAACTTGTTCTCTCTGAAGAGGTGCATCAACAGACTTGCGACTCCGTTTCCAACTTTTTCTCTTTTATGCCTCAATGAAAATGAACCTGTCCTTTGATATTTGTATTCTTTGCTGTTTTCTTCGCATTTGTCAGATCATTTGGATTTCTTCTTGAGTTGAATACTGCAGCAGTGTTTTTATATTCCAGATACCATGGTGGGGATAGCAGATGCTATAAAGTCGCAACGCTTCATTGTGAAACCTTGAAAATCTCTCACACCTCTCTCCCAGGATGTACAAAACTTTGAAGTGGTTGAAGAGAGGAGAAACGTTGCTGATGTTAGAGTGAGTATTTCAATGCATCCTTTCTTAAAGTAAATACTATGTCATCAACAACTGCATAATTGCATTTCAAAAAATATTCAACAGCTGAAAACCAAGAACAGGAAGGGGAAGGAGGACCAAGAGGTCGATACACAACTCATTAAACATGCCAAGAAATCTGGCCAAGCTGGCAGTGACGGCATCCCTGCAAACTCTGTTGAGAAGGTAAGCGTTCTGTCCAATGAGACTTGTTTGGCGTATTCGTAAGCAGGTTTTAACTTATTTCTTTTTTTATATAGAAGACTCCGAAGCAAAAGAACAAAGCAAAACTAAATAAGAAAGCCATTAAGGAGGCTGAAAAGAATGAGGATATGAAGTTGGCTAAAAAAAAATTCAGGTAAAGTATATAAGATAATTTTACTGACAGTATTTAAGTCTTAAAGATATGTGACTTGAAATGTCCAATTTCTTTTCAGAAACTGGGTATGGTGAAAACTCCTGTTATACTTCCTCTCCAGTTAAGCAGAGTGATAATTTTGGAACTCTTGTTTGTGATGTATCTCACATGAGTGATTGGGAGATCGGTATAGTAGAAGAGGTATGGAAAGTGTTCTTTTGAGACTAAATTGTAATTATTTTTGAAACAAACAGGATTTTAATTATTTCTATCTTTCTTTAGGTTGGCTCAACAGATACTGAGAAACATGACAATACAGCTCCACCTCCTGGAATAAAAGGGTCAAAGAAGGCTGATGGCACAAAAGATTCTGAGAGTAACAATAGATCAGAACTTCCACAGAACAACAGGGAAGAAAAAGATTTTGAGAGTAAGAGTAGATCAGAACTTCCAAAGAAGAACAGGGGAGAAACTGTACAGAATAATGCAGGCTCTCAGGGTGTAAGCTATTGCACTAGTTTTGCATTCCTATTTACATATAATCCTGTTCATAGTTACCAATAATTGTTTTGTTTTTTCATACTTATGTGTGAGTCATGTGGAAAGACATGCTGCAGCACCTATGCGTACAACAAGATGAAGCAGTATACAAAGAAATCTAATGAGCAGATACTGAGTAAACTGGAACTAATTGCAAGCAGGCAGACCAGTAGTAAGTAAAAGTGGTGTGCATTGTACAGTTCTTCAACTTTTACAAATGTGAACTTGGTAAGGAATTAATGTTGTGTTTTTTGTCTTTCTTTCAGTGAAGCCATCTGAAGGCAAACATTGCAAACTTCAAGACCTGCGAGATGTTTGCCCTGATGAGTCAGACGATTATGACATCCGCAATGGAATGGTATGGTTTGTGGTACCTTTGTAACCACTTCCTGCATGTAATGTTCTAATGTCACTTCATTTAATCTATGTAAAATAATTTCCTTAAAATGATATTGTTTCTTGGTTTAATGAATAGGTTCACATTGGTGAAAAAAAGTTCATCAGCATCAAAGCCATTGCTACTGTGGATATTGCAAAACACGGTGTTAGGTCCACACTGCAGGAACTAGTGCCCCTCTTTTGGCCTGACAATTATAAGGATTATTCACTAGATGGGAAAGGGAAGCAAATAACTGACAATCACATTAAGAGCATGATAGGTGAGTGAGATTGTATGTACAATCAGTAGTAAAAATACTTGGTTCACCATGTAAAGGAGAAGAATGAGTGGAATGAAATTTAGTTTTCTTTTATTAAATTAACATGATCTTCATGTCCACAGGAATTCTAGACTCCATGACATGGAAAATGAATCACAGGACAAGTTTGGAGATAGGGAATGTGCGCAGGGAGCTCAGCAAGGCCCTGTCGCATCTGAAACGCCCAAGCAGCTCAAACAAACAAAAACCAATTGCAAGCAAAGAAAAGAAGAAGAAAACACAAGAGGTACAGAAAGGCAAGCATAGTGGCGCTGCAAGAGGCAATGATAAGCAAAAATCAACTGCTGCTGAACCCAAGAAATCAAAGAATGGCTTAGATAGTAAAATGTCTGGAAGTTCTAGCAGCGAAGAAAGTGAGGGAGAGGGAGATGATGATGACGAGGATGAGACCAGTGATGACGAGAGAGATTAGAAGAGAAAGAAGAAGACCAATGATGATGACGAGGATGAGACCAGTGATGACGAGAGAGACAAGAAGAGAAAGAAGAAGACCAATGATGATGACGAGGATGAGACCAGTGATGATGAGAGAGATAAGAAGAGAAAGAAGAAGACCAGGGAAGGCTCTAGTGACAGTGAGAGCAGTGATGAAGAGGGAGATGACAAGAAAAAGAAAAAGAATTAGAAAATTGAACATGTATGTCTGCTGTCCTTCATACTTTCAGTTTTAATGAGCGCATATTGGCTTTTAACATAACATTAATAATCATGTTCTTTTTATTGTTTTTATGTTGAATTTGAATTGTAAGAACTTTTGTCAAATCACAAATGTACCAATCAGTAGTGAGTAGTGTGTTAATCATGTTCTTCTTACAGGGGTCGCAAACTCGAGCTATCCGCCGAGCCTCGCCTGCATAGGCCACACGCATTACGAGCTCTTCGGCAAGAAGAGTGAGAGAGATAGATGTAGTGGTGCCTCAGCGACTGACCCGTGCCCGGCCGCACTGCTGTTACCGCCGGCTAGCTTTGCTCGGCGCTCGGTCGTCGGCCAGTGTGTCTATCTTTGTCACTCCCAATGCTACCTCAATGAGTGCGACAAAGACAGACACACACACTGGGCCAGCGAGCGAGCGGCGTGTGTCCAGCGACAGACGACGACGGCTGAGTCCAGCTCAGCTCCGAGCCACCCGAGCGCGGCTCTCGGCGACCTCGGGTTCACCCGGACGCAAGAGGTGCGCGGCTCGCCGAGATCCGGGCTAGGCGAGCCGCGCTTGGCTCGGGAGCCGCGAGTTTGCGACCCCTGTCTTATTATATTTTTATGTTTATTGATATTTTAATTGTTACCATTCAATGGTATATGTACCTGATTTCTTTAAAGTGTTACTTTTTGTTTTGTTTCTGATCATTATCACATTAAAATTCAATTGATTTGTGTATATGTTGTAGGTATTTTTGATGATCTAGGCATGGTATTTTTTCTGAAGTTTTCCAATGCAACAGGTCTATTTATTTAGAGACATCTAGAACTTAATCAAAATTGTCTGTTTTTTAAGTCTAGTTTTTCATGTGTGAAACCAATCCAGTTTTTTAAGGCAGAGCGCCACAGGGGTGTCTGCAGCACGTTACTAATGTAAGGGGGAGGGTGACCGTGTTTTACCGGGTGACCCGGCTCTTACATGCCAGTAAGGTGGGTTGCATAAGGACCGGCTGGCAGGTGCTGTCGGGGTATTTCGCGCATCCCCGCCGAACCGCTAGCCAGCGATAGCGCCTGCGAGCCACCGCGTGTGCAACCCGCCATACTGGCATGTAAGAGCCGGGACACCCGATACAGACGCACTCAAGAACTTGCAACGGGAGTCGAGGTTCACACATGATAGTACGTTGGGTTGCCTATCTGCAGGCACGGAGCAGGTAGCAGTAGAGTGGTGGGGGAACTGCCCACTCCCTCGCCAGTGCCCCGCACCTGCAGATAGGCAACCCAACGCGCTGTCACGACGTCTCAGCCTGGACTCCTGGTCACTGTGCGGACACCAGTCGGGGTCACGCATCTAGGCGCGGCCTGGACAAAGGTGGGACACATTTGAACGCCCCCTGAATTCCTCCAGAGGTGCGGGTTGGATTTCCGGGACACCCTGGGAAGTGGTTCGTGGACACGTTTGGACCAGTGTTGGACACGGCGGGACACAGGTTGGACATTTCCAGGACACGTTTGGATGAGTGTTGGACACGGCGGGACACGATGGACATTTCCAGGACACCCTGGGAAGTGGTTCGTGGACACGTTTGGACGAGTGTTGGACACGGCGGGACACAAGTTGGACATTTCCAGGACACGTTTGGACGA